CAGGGGGTGAAAAGGGAGAATTTTGTATGTGAATCCAGTGCTGTGCTTCAGGCAGCATTCTGAGCTTTTATGGCCATCAGTTCTGAAATCCTGGGTCCCAGAAAGGTCTGAGGGCTGTTATGGGCTGCATGTGGCCATCAACCACAGTGCTGAGCTTTGCTAAGTCGAAATGTGTCTTGAGAAAAAAAAAACCTACCAAGCTTCACCTGGAATTTTTTTCCCGCGTTAAACTGGAGTGATATAGCCTCAAGTATTTTTAGGGTAAAGAAAGTTAAGAAATGTAAGCTTTTTGGTGGCACTATTAATCTTTAAACATGCCCAGAATATGAGTTACTGTTGTGGGGTTAATTTTATATTTAGAGAGGACAACTTGTGTTTAAAACAAAGCATGCTAATTCTTCTGTCATGTGCTTGGAGTTATTCAAGCTTTTATTTGCCATACAACAATTTTATTGAGTGCTCTTCATGAATAAGAAGGAGATAGTGGGTGTGCCACAAGGAAAATTCTTGAAAATTTTAGACATGTAGGTTAATGAACTTTCCTAGCTTACAGGAAAAGGAGATTTGTGTTCTTGGAATATAATTTTATTTACTGTCTAGAGTTTTGTGAGGACATTTCCATCTGGGTTGTTCTTGGGAAAAAAGTTTTCTTTGTCTCTCCATATCAGTCAGCTCACAGCAATGTTTTTTTCTAAAGCTGGTACCTGAAAAAATGCTTGTTTTGTTTGGTTTTCTTTACCTTGATTTTTCTATCCATGAATGGGAGGCTGGGTTAGTAGCAGGTGCTTGATACTTTTGTGTGCTCCTATAAACAGCTCGGTTTTCACCAGTAAGTCTGCAGTATGTCTATTTATTCCTTAATGGATCTGATTCTGTTGTTTTCCTAATCTAAACTGTTTTGACTCCTATGACTTTGAACATAACATAAAATGGATCTGTTTTCTTAATTCATATCTCATTAATTCAAATTTCACATTCCAGTTTTCCCCCAGTTTTCATTTTATTATTTTGGGATTTTATTTCTGTGGTATGAATTTTGGTTGGCTTGGGGTTTTGTTGGTTGGTTGGTTGGTTTTTATCAACCCAATATATGAGATTAAATCTGTGGTAGTAAATTTTTAAAGAGCCCCCAAAAATACACGTCAGTTAAGACTGCTCACTGAAGTAGTCTGCATTGTCAGCATATTGGTTGCAATATGTTTCAGCTAAAATTCTGTTCACCCTAAGCTGGGTGGCTCATAAATAGTTTCTTTTGTGCTAAAAATTAAAAGCTGTGACACTCAAGTTATATTATGCATCCTCGTATAAACTTTTGGTTTGTAATAACAGCATACCATAATTATAGCAAAGGTAGCTAAAAAAAATACAGTAATATATAATTGACTTAAACTTCTAAATAATAATTGCTAGAAAGCTGAGAGTTATATTAATAAGGGGAAAAAATACAGTTGCAAGAACTTTTCTTTTTAATTTTACTGTCTGTTTCCAGAACCCTTTCAACTTCAACAAACTGGAGGTATAAAAACTCTAAAATTCCAAGACAGCCAGTCTCTTACTTGTGATTATTTTAATACTTTACATGATGGCATAACATTTAACTGCCTTGGAAAAGTGTTTGTTCAATTTTATGGCACTGTGCATCATTCTGAATAATGATAAATATAAAACAGATAATTTATTTTAGAGCAATAAGATTTTCAGAGCCTTCTCATAGGATTGTGTACTTGGAACAGAACTAATTGCATGTCATAGATGAGTACCTGCTTTTTTTTGTTTAGTTTAGAGGCTTTTTCTTTTCTTTTCAAACCTCCATAAATTCTTTCTGTTTCCAAACCTTTTACTTACAGCTTTTAGAGAAACGGCAGAGCAAGCCAGGATTGTTTGGATCCTCTAGAAACCCCATTTATCTCAACATGGGGAGTTGCCATTTCTTTTCTGGCATTCAAAAAATCTTAGTAATGTAGTAGTATTCAATAAGAAAAAATGTTTTGAATAAATCTGAGTATTTCTAATGGAGTTGATTAGATGTAACACTACAATCAAAACATCCTACAAAAATCTTTCAGTGTCATATTGAGTTCAACACTATATCTATGCCTGTATATGTGTATATTAACCTAAAATCTGTAATGAGCAAAAGGTTTTTTGTTACTCCTTGGTAATTTTTGTAAATGCCTCTCAAATGTACTCAGAGGGAATTTCAAGCTGGATAAATTTTGAGCTCAAATTGCTTTTCTCAGTTTATTTGTTACACAACTATTTTGCATCCTTAGAAGATGAGATCTTGTGATCTGTGTGCTGGCACTCCCTTGAGTCCCATTAGGGAGCAAAGCAATGTGTCTAATATTTAAACATGGTGAAGTGAGGCTTCTTAGAAGCTTGTTGTCTCACTCCTGTGAGACTTGACAATTACTCTGTTGAGTCAGCCTAATGCAACAATTCCAAATGCCATTTAATAATGATCAAACGAGTAGAGTGGAAGTCAGCTTCATACAACATGAATATCAAATATTTACACAGTACAACCACAGCTCTTTCAGTAAAACAAACTTCATTTGTTACAGAGTAATACTTCCCTCTCTATGGTGTCTATATTAAACCATGTGTAGGTCTAAAATTCTTGTATGGCTAACAATGGCTTGGAGATTGGCCAGTTGTCTCAGGTTTTCCTAAGAGGCCATTTTATGTAGTCCTTGCTACAAAGGGAGAAACCATGAGAAAAGAAAAGAGAGAGCATACAATTTAGGCTTTATTCTTATATTAATATATTTGAAAAATATCATTATAGATTATTTTTCATGGAAACCTACAGAACAGAATTAAGAGTTTCTTTCTTACAGTGTTATTCAAGAAGGTTTTGTGACAGAGTTTTTGCCTATAAGTTCATTTTATGTGAAAGGATTAATGAGGACAACTTGAGTGTGATGTTGGGTTCATCTGCTTTACAGAGAATATACATCTGCCAGAAGATCAGAAGAACAGCTTCTGCAGAGCTTACATGTCCTTGTTAAAAGTGTATACAGACAAAAAGATTTGCAACCAATCCATTGCTAGGATCTGCATGAAACATGTAAAATAATTAACCTCCTTTTCCTGTTTACCACTGTCTCCTCAAAATTTGTACATTTTAAGATACATTTAGCTTTAGACAATGAAAGGAACTTAGGCGTGAAAATAGTTTTCTCTCCTGTCCTCTCTGTTTTTTGAAGTGATGTACATCCAATTCAGCAATTTCCTATGACTTTGCTCACCTTCTTGCCTGCAGAGCCTCTGTGGGCATTGTCTGCCCTCTTCCTCTCTGTGTGGGAAAAGCACTTTTCCCTGTGCCAAGCTGAGGTCTCCTAACAGTTGACAAAAGCAGGTTCTCTATGCTGCCAGCCCTAATTTCTCCTCCTCCTGCCTGAAAGTGCCTCTGGTTTTCCACAGATGCCAGCCAAGATAAAGTTATCTGTTTAGATGTCAGAAAGGCAACATGGATATCTACATGATAGCAAGATTATGTACTTGGACATACAGTTCAGCAAATTTAATTTTCAGAGGAATGGAGTGTTAGACCAATGCTTAATGTTTACATTTATACAGGGTGATTTTTTTCACACTGTGTTTAGAGATGGAGTTCTGGGTCTTGCTGATGTGCTGGCCTTCCCAGTCTGGCTTCCTAAAGTTTGGATTTATGCTTGCATGCTGAGTGGGTGCTTGAACACCATCCCACCCCTTGGTAAGTGCTCTCATAATAGCCTAGTGTGGGACTGGGCATGTTCTTGTGTGTAAGTCACAGAACATGCTGAGTTGGAAAGGACCCAGCAGGATCACAGGTTCCACCCCTTGGCCCTATGCAGGACATGCCAAGAGTCACATCATGGACCTGAGAGCATTGTCCCAGTGCTGTTTGAACTCAGACAGGCTTCGTGCTGTGACCACTTGCATGGGGAACCTGTTCCAGTGCTCAACCACCTTCTGTGTGAAAAACTTTCTCCTGATACTTAACCTAATGATTCGAGTGGGTAAGTGGGGAAGCCAGTGAAGTGAACTGAGAAAAAAACTTATCCTTGTACTTAACTGATAATGTAGATGTTACTGAACTGACTGGCTTTGGCTTTGTTCCCCACTGAGCAGTAGGATTCGTCCTCCATCTCTGAATCAGCCAAACTGACTTTAAAATGTGTAGTCTTTTTGTGCTCTTTTCTCCCTGCATGAATCCAGTGAAATGCAGCTGCTCTGGTTTCAGTTCCTGTCAGCCACAGAGAAGTGTCAAATCTGACAAGTGTGTAGCAATGTTGGTGCAGATTTAAACACCATCAAAAAGTGAGAACAAACGTATTTTTGGATACTTCTATTAAGTGTGTCATTGAGGCATCCAATCAGTTCATGTTCATACATGGCCTATGATTTATGTGGAATGTTTTCCACATGACTTTCTTGGTGACCTTTTAGAGAAAAGGTGAAATGGAAAATAACCTGGAGAACTGCCTGGTCAGCTATTTAGACTTGCATTTGGTGCTGCATCATGGTCACAACCTGTGCTGTTTAAACAGCAGTGACTCACCACACCCCTGACCTAGCACACTAAGGTGTAAGTCAGGAGGTTTCCTGAAACACTGCACAGGGTGCATATAATCCAGGCATGCACTCTCTTGTGTCCCAAAGCTGGTGAAAGGGATCTGCTGTGGCAGCTATGGGCTTTCTTGTCTCTTCCTGCTTCTAAAAGGCAAAAAAATACACACAGGCAACCTTGGTCCTGAATAGAGCTGCAGAGGTGTGGCTCCTCAAGACATCAAGCTTCAAGGAAACACATCACCTACAGTACCTGCTCTGCTGCTCTTACCATCCTGTGATACTTTTTAAAGTGTGGGTGACGTTACCTGTATAATAGGGCTTGAATATACAGTGTTCAGGAAGACTTTGAAGTTTGAATCTGGGCCCACAATCTACTTTTTTAGGGGAGGAAAAAATACATGAATGTCCATTTGAAAATCTGTTTTGATGCAAAATCCCTGCAAGAGCATGGTTAGGATTATATCTTGAGAGATGAATTTATTTAACCTAAGGGCAGCAAGAGAGGATTAGGTATTTTAATACCCTCCTTTTCCCTAATGACTGTACAGAGTACTGAGACTTGTTTGGCTTGGGGAAGATGACCTGTGATGATACTGTGAGGTGATTTTTTTTAACACCTCCTACTGAAAACATAGTGTTTTTTCACTGAACAAAGAATATTTTTCAGGAGGCATAATGGCATTCCTATGAAATCAGAGGCATTGTCACTCAAGTAGGACATTCAGGCTTATGAAGTGGTCTCACAGATAGATCCCAAATTTTGCAATCTTCTTAAGGCAGCCAGGAGTTCTTACAAGTGAGATGACCTAACTACATGTAAAACACATATCAGTAAGAATTGTTGTGGTTTAACATTTCAGAATAGCTAGGTACTTTGCTACTGCTCTTGAGATGCTAACTTTACCTATCTAATTTTTAAAACATCCTTGTCAGTTCAGTTTTCCCCACGAAATCTTTCATGACAGACAAATCAATGTACAGATAATGAAGCAAAAAATTGCTCTAATTTAATAGGTGTTTATTTCTGAGAGGCCAATGCATTTTGGTATCTTTCAAAATTAAATGTGCAATTTTACATTTCATTATTTTTTTCATTTTCATAATCCTTTCATTTTTGTGCAAATGGTTACTTTTCATTAAAAACATATGGCCTGAATAGGGATACTCTCTTGGGCTCAGTCCTGTTCTCTCAACAAGCATATTTTGTATACAGACAATTGCTATTGAAAATTTGCTTTTTTATCTGTCATAATTTGCTTGAATTGTAAGTCAGTAAGAAAATAAACTTTGATTCATTTATTTGGTATTTAATCCTGAATTATTCACTTGAGGGATAGATTATACAGATGACCCCTAATTTTTATTTATTTTTTTTACCACAGCCTTAATTAATTACCATTGATAAGAGAAAAGGTAGAAAAAAACCAGTCACTAATGTCCCTTTTTGTTATCCCAGTATAATTTAATCTTTAATCTCTTTATGACTGTAGTCATGTGAATGTGAAAAATTATCAATTTCTTTAAAGCTAACTGTACTTTGGTATTAGACTATGCTTTGCTATTTTCTTCATGACACCAACAGAACGGGAATGTGCCACAGCATGGCTGCAGCCATGGCTTCCATATATTATTGTAAGGAGACAGCTGTTGTGGGACTGGGGTCAGAGTCTTGCTGTGCTCTTCCACTGCTCTTCTCATTCTCCTCACCACAGTGTCAAACAAGGGCTCAGTGTCAGCTGAGAGAGGATTTGCCTCAGATGGATCTTGTGAGAGGTTGAACAGCAGTGGAGGGTCATGATGGGTTACACCATCCCCGAAACATGGACAAATTCCTCTTCTGAAACAGGCCCCAGAGGCTTCTGGCTGAAATACTGGAGTAGCATAATGAGCTTTCCATACGGTGCCACCTGTCACAGGAGAAGCACATTTGAACAGCTTAATGTCATTAGGAGCTGGGGGTGGTCCCTGAAAGGTTGGTTCATGTTTAAGTGATCTGCTTTGTTGTTCCAAGGGAAAACTTATATCATGTTGCATACAGGAAAAAGGTTCATACAGGGAAAAGGTGCTGTGGAAGCTGCCAGGGATTCAAATGGTTTTTGTGACTCATGGGTACCCCTTGGCTCTGGGTACTGTCTGCACTATATGGATGGTTAGCCCAATGGTTTCAATACAGATGGAGTCTGCCACTTTCTTGGTTCCCTTTAAAAATTTTTGTGCCTCTTGGAGGTGGGAAAATGGAGAATGTAGTCCCCAGTTTCTAGGTGTACATATTGATAGGTGGTTCTTCTTCTGGCACTGTGCATCTGAGTGAGGAAGTACATTTAGGCAGAAATTGACCACAGCATATTTCTCTGCTCATGTTCCAGCACACTTCCAAAAGGGTGGGAAGTGCAGGCTTTTAAAATCTGGAGTCTAGTTTTTAAGTTAACATGAAGAAGGCAAATAGATCACAACTTTAGAGCTTGTATTTCATAAAGCCCTTGTTCTGACCACCTGGGATAAGCACAGGTTTGTAACTTGTGGTGAAAAAGTGGTAAATTACTAGGAATACAGATGAATGTAGTCCTAGTACATTACTAGCACTTACATTACATTACATCAGGATATTTTACTTCTTCCTCCATTCTCCTTTTTCTCCTATTCTTTACCTCACATTTAGAAAGCACTACACTGAACTCAGAGGCAAGGATGTGCCCAGCAAGAAGACAGCAATTAGACACTATGTCTGAAAAAAGAGACAAGAAGAAAGGGGACATTCAACAGTTGCAGTCACTTCTGTGCTCAAAGCATTAAAGAGCTGACAACTGCATTGTCCCTACATGGAATTTTCTTTTTGGTTCAACGGAGTCAGCTGAACTTTTCTTCCTTTCTTTTCTTGTGTCTAGAGCCTTCTTTATGTCTGCAGCCTGCAGATTTATTCATCAGTCTCTCTTTTTGTCACTACCCTAGAACAATATTTTGTGAATAAATAGAATTTTAAAACTTCTTAAAAGGTGAAGAGGAGCAAATAAGGTAATATCTAAGGTAACATCTTAAATTAAAATATCCAGTTGCTGGCTGGCACTGTGTTTCTTTATTTTCACCACACAGTTTCCACATCCTGCTTCTGCACTTTTATGGAGGGATACTGTCTCAATGGCTCTGAAATGTTTAGGTGTAAGAAAACGAAGATAAATTTTAGATATCTCCATTTCTGAAATTGTGAAAGAAAGGATAAAAAATGTCTTCTGAAAGAAAAAGGGTTAGAACATGGTGGTGATACTGCCAAGGTTGTGGGTTCAGTCCCTGGATGAGTAATTTCCTTAAGAGTGGGACTTGATCATCCTCATGGGTCCTTTCCAGCTCAGAATATCATGGATTTGGAAATAAAGATGAAATATTTCAACTTTCTGAGAGCTTATGAGGGGAGATTCTCCTTACGTCTGTTTGAGTATTTGCTTTGGTGCTGGCTGGGTGTCCACTGCACCCTCAAGCTTGTCCCTGTCTTGTTACCAAAAGAATGTTTGTTTTTTGACAGAAGTGCAAGTATTCTCTGTGATATCAAGGTGCCCAGAACATGGAATTTGCTTCTTATGTCTGTTGGTCAGGCAGCATAGATATTTCTTACAAAGAGTTAAACAAGCACTCCCTGGGACATGCATTTTTTCTGAGTATCTAGCTCTAGTTGGAGTGCTGTTATGATATCAGTAAAATAGCCATTTATTATATGAGATGGACATATGGACTTACCTAGATGTACATAGAAATTAGTGATCAGAAAAACTGAACTAAGTAGTCATTCTTTTCCATAAATAATTGAGCTGAATTCTTTATAATATATACACTGTATGGTAGTGAGTGTAGAGTGTCTGGGGAGAACTGTTCTGATTCTTCTAAATTTTAACAGTCACTTTTCATAGCTGCAAATAATTAATTGAGTTGCAGAGTGGGAGACAGACAAGTCCTTGTTAGTTCACTTAGAAGGATAGAGAGAGGCTGATTCTAATTAACCTGCAGTGGTGAGCTGAGTAGACAGCTGGGTTACAGAAGGATAAAAGAAAAAAAAAGATAGTAAAAATCAGTGCTGATAAAAGCAGTGGGGGTTTCACTCATCTCCAAGAGGCAAAGAGGGATATACAATTTGCTACTGAAGTAGCTCTGAGAGAATCTGAAGGGTGCATGTGCATGTTAGGACAGCGTGTAAATTTAATATATCCAAGGGAAAGGAAACCTGCTGCTTCAATCCAAACATGCCTCAAACCCATCTTGTAACAATCAGTTTAATGATCAGAAAGAAATGGACTGTCACTAATAAGACTTATGCTGCAGAGGTAAAGGAAAGGACTCTTTAACATAGAAACAAAGCATTCTTCTGGCTTCAGTGAAGGCTTTAAAGGATAGATTGTGCCTGGGTGACATCGAGACACAATGGATTTGTATCTAGGCTGATCAAGAGACAGATGTTAACTAATAATAAATAAGTAATGTGAGTATGACATACTTGTAAATGAACTAAAACAGCCTGGTCTGTCAGCCCAATCAGAAGAAACTGCAGTTGCAGCAAAAAAATAAAAATTTTTGGCCTGGCTGAAAGCTGAGCCATATATTTGATTAACTGGTGTTTTATATGCAGAACATGGCATTGTTTTCAAGCCCCTTGCCATAAACAGTTCAATGGGAAGAATTGTAGAAATGCATGCATAAGATCTGCACATGGCTTCATAGGAACATGAAATGCTACAAAATCCACCTTGCATCTGCATCCTGTATGCAGATATAGCTATTTAAGTAGAACTTATATAGTTTAGAAGAACAAGCAATGTAATTTAGGCAAGGAAAACATCAGGAGAACCTGAAAAGCAATTCTTCAAATGTCCCATTTGATTGGAGTATGAATTTAGCCTCTCACTAAGGAAGTGACTCTTCCAACAGGAATATTATCCAGGAATTGGGGCAGTCAGACACAGATTTCTCTGCCCAGAAACATTCTGTGTTCACAAAAAATGGTATTACAGAGAAACAAAGAGAGAGCTCTAAGAATAGCGAGACATTCTTGAAGCTCTACTTCCCAGGAAGCAAACCCCTTCATCTCACGTGAGGCAGGACAACAAACAACGAGGCCTTGCAGAAGAACTGAGAGTTTGAGACCATGAACGTATTCCATACATATATATGTGTATAAACGTGTATATGTACATTTTTACATTATTTTCTATTGGAAGCTAGAGGACATTACATCATTTCTGGCCTGCAGGAGGGGGCTGTTTATACTCACTGTCCTTCTGGTGCCAGCGCACTGCGTGCAGGAACACACCGCAGTAGTGGAACAGGAACTCGTGCCTGGAGTGCTGCTCTGTCCCCTGCAGCAGGGGCAGCAAGGTGTGCCCATCCATGACCCTGATGGAGAGGACCAGAGTCACCAGACAGCTTCAGAATTTTATGTCTGCAGCTGAAGCATGAGCAGTACTCAGTCCATTTGTGCAGCGTTAAGGTTTCAGGTGTCATCACTAAACCAAGGTACTGTTCAGCTAATGAGCCCTGAGATTTTTAATTGGATGAGTGTGTGGAGACCAGTAATTAGCAGTTACTAGTTTTGCATGTACAGCTAGTTCACACATCCTGCTGGGGACATCAGACACCATTACTGTAATTTTCCTAGAAGTGATAACAATAGTGAAGGCATGGTTCACAGGTTTTAATTTTGCCACCTGAAATGTAAAGAGCTGACAGCTCTGTTGAGCTCCAGGCTTTGTAAAAATAATTAAAAAAAAAAAAAGAAGCCACTTACTGAACTGCCTAGCAATTCAGCTACAATCTGGGTTGTCACTGTGTTTAGTTACAATCTACCAGTACTTCTACGATTTCTGCTGAAATGGCTTAGCCACCCACACTTTCACATGTCCTTTAGAGAAGTCTGTCTTTTTCAGTCATCCTAATGTCCCAAATCGACCAAGTTGCTTTTCAGTGATAGGAGAACTGAGTCATCTAAATGATCCTTGATAAAACATACAGGTTTGTTTCTTTGTGTTTTTCACATATGCAGACAAGATGAGGAAAGCTGTGCAGAAAAAAAAACCTAGAGAATTACCTGGTTTAGAAACAAAGAGAATTTAATGTGTGGCTGTTAGGATGCACGACACAGTCAGTTTCTGTCTGAAAAAAGAAAGAGAAGCAATATGATTTGTGAAGCCACCTCTATACCTGTCCTGAGGCACTGCTCCTCCAGCCAGTTGAACTACTGTAGGATAAATGTCCATGAGGCTTGTAGGTTCATCGATAACTGTCCCCGCAGGCAACACTCCTGGCCATCTAACTATACCTGGGACACGGATTCCTCCTTCCCAGCCTCCCATTCCTTTTCCACCTGTTATAGAAGGGGGAGAAGTATCAAAAAGATAAAATCATAGAAGATACCAGATGTTTATTGTGCATGTACAGAAAAATGTTTTAAGACTTTTAGGGTATTTCATGCATCTTTAATGAAAACATACTAAATCCTGGAAAACAGTAGACTGTCATTAAGCAGTGGCTCTTCTCATTATTTGTATGTGTGTCTTATTTATCTGCTTGTTTTTAATATAAAGTTCTTAATAGCAAGAGTGAGTTTCACAGCTATTTATTAATTAAACTATATTTTTTAATTTTGTCAGTTTGTCTCACTGGGATATCCCCTGTTCTGCTGTATGTGGACATAAATAGTAAAGTCTTTCTATTATTGATATCTAAATTGATATTGTATCCTCTCTCTAAGCAGGCATGATTTCATCATTGTCCTCTCATCCTGAACTCCCCAGACACATTTCAATTTCCCCTCTGGACTCTCTTGTTACTAATACACTTGTGTTCAGCTAGTGGAAGTGAATTCCTTAGATTAGTTTGTAAGTTATTCAAGTGAGCCTCTTGGCCTTTTTGCATCTGTTACTAGCATGGAATCTCTATATCAAGAACGAAAGACTAATTTTACATTTAGGACTGTGTGTGGGTGGATCCCAGCTGTATCAAACATTGCTTGTGTGGCTCATCAAGTAACTTAGTACTAGACAATGTGCATTGTGATGCTGAGCGAGGTCAACGTGCACGTGACTCTTCTTCTACAGGGAAACTTGTGACTTGTGGCAGCTTTCAGTCTTCATTATACAGTAAGTGCCAAGCTGCCCAAGATGTCACAGTGGCTTTTCAAGGCTTAGTAATCTGGAGGAAGCACATACAAGAGATACCATAGGTCTTCATTTCCATAGAGCTTTTGTCCTGTGTTGCAAGCCAGTCATAGGGACTCTAGAAGAAACTTATATAGGATGGGTGAGAAACTGGAGAACTATAGTAAGAAAAATAGGCACCAGGATATCTGCCAGTGTTGACATAGATAATCAGTAGAGAGGAGCCTTTTGAAATTCAACACAGATAAATGCAAGGTCCTGTACCTTGGGAAGAATAACCCCATGCCCCATTACAGGCTGGGGCTGACCTGCTGGAAAGCAGCTCTGCATAGAAGGATCTGGGTGTCCTGGTGAACAGCAAGTGCTCCCTGAGCCAGCAGTGTGCCCTTGGGGCCAAGAAGAGCGTGGGTATCCTGGTGTGCATTAGGAAAAGCATTGCCAGCAAATTGAGTGAAGTGGTCCTGCCCCTCTATTCAGCCCCAGCCCTATAAATAGCAGGTGCCCTGACTTTGTTTCAGCCCTACAATCCAAGATTATAATCCCATCATATAGTTTATTAAATGTAGTATGTTTGGGTATATTTTTTCTATCACCCTTTTTTTTATTAAAAAAGGAAGTCTGCATGTACAAACTACTAAAATTTTACCTTTATATATCCCATTCCATCCACCCAATTGAGAATTTCCTCTGTGAGCCTCTAAGAATCCTCCATGATCCGATGCAAAATAAATGAATGTGGTATTCTTCAAGTCCTCTTTGTCAATAACATCCACAAGCTTGCCTATAAACAAAGAAAAACATCAGCAGATGCAGTCAGATTTTCTAGGTCTTGACTCCACATTCAGTGAAGACTGAGTCTTTCCATTTGTCTGAATGAGTTTTGTTATGAACTACCAGATTCAACACAAAGAGACTTTGACAAATGAGAGAGAAGGGCAATCACCAGCCATGTGAAGTTTAACAAGGAAAGTGCAGGATTCTGCAGCTGAGAGAAGGCAATCCTTGATATGTGTGTACACTGGGGAAAGAGATGCTGGAAAGAAACACTGTAGAAAGGAACCTGGGGGCCCTGGTCTATGGCAAGTTGAACATGAGTCCGCAGTGTCCTGACAGCCAGGAGGGCCATCCTAGGGTGTCCTGGGGAACATCAGGCACAGCATAGCCAGGGAGGGGATTGTCCTGCTCTGCTCTGAGAAGGGGAAGCCTCACCTCGAGTGCAGGGGACAGTTTTGGGTGCCACAGTGTAAGAATCATATAAAGCCTTTAGAGAGCATCCAAAGGAGGGCCCTGAGGATGATGAAGGGCCTTGAGGGGAAGCCTTATAAGGAATGGCTGAGGTCACTTGGTCTGTTCAGCCAGGAGAAGACTGAAGGGAAGAGAGACCTCTTTGCAGTTCTCAACATCCTTATGAAGGGGTAACGTAGGGACAGACACTGATCTCTTCACTCTCAGGACTAGTAAGAGGACCTGAGCAAACAACACAAAGCTGTGTTTGTGGAGGTTTAGGTAAGATATCAGGAAAAACTTTTCCAGTCAGAGAGTGGTTGGGCACTGGAACAAGCTCTGCAGCAAAATGGCCACAGCACCAGCCTGACAAAGTTCAAGGAACTTTTGGACAATATTCTCAGGCACATGCTGTCATTCCTGGGGTATCCTGCACAAGGGCAGGGGTTGGACTTTGATGATCCTGTATGGCCCCTTCCAACCCAGCATATTCTATGATTCTTTGAAATTATAAGAGCCCTAGAGAAAGCCAATGAGTGTTTAAACATTTGTTTCTGGTCTATAAAAATATTTTTAAAATTGGAAAATAAATGAGTGATACTTTTATTCAAGCTACTCAAAATACTCCGTCACCTTTGTTCTGTAGATTGTGCTTCAAGAATTATCTTCACTATGTAGCCTCAAATATCTTGAAAAGCTTAAATAATAGGGCTGCTCTGATTACTAACCACAGACAACTGCTGTGTATCACCAGGAACTGAACAAGGAATCTGAGACCAGGCTGCATACTATCAACCAAAATAATCTCCTGATGTCAGCAATAAAAACTTCATAGACTGTAATTCAAACCTAACTTCATAAGGCATGTTTTCTGTACTGACCTCATCAAATGTTTACATAGAATGTGATTTATCTTCAATTAATTGTTGTCATCATCTTCCTTATCAAATACCTTTGCCAAGAACAGCTTCCATACCTACAAAAGCAGCCGCAAAAGCTGAACTGCACAAGAAAAAAGCACAAGCCAGTGATCACCACTTCTGCTCAGTCTCTTTTCCTTTCCTGTCTCTCCTTGCTGAAACTAGTTATTGACTTCATCAAACACAAAAAATGTTTAGATTGAGTCTAGGTATGTTCTGAATTAGACCCCAAATCGAGAGCTATCCAACTCTGGAAAGTTTTGTCCTCACTAGCTGCTACCCTGTTTCAACAACATGTTCTTTATATCTTGACTTCCGCCATCCATCTCTGCTTACAGAGCCTATGTTTGAAGGTGGCTGATGCCAAAAGAGGAAAGAGGAGCATGGCTGAGTCCTCTGGTTCAACTGGATCTTGCAGGAGTTTTCAGCCTGTCCATTGAAAGCAATCAGGTTCCTCTCAAATTACGATTTTGTAGACATGATTACTGGAGAAAAATGAATTGAAATGAAAAGGAATTGAATGAAAAAAGGAAATTAAATGAAAAAGGAATTGCATCGTGGCCTCGACAGGAGGCAATTTGCTAATAGAGCCTTTATTTTTGACAACATAGAAACAGTAGCTATCTCTCTCTCTCTCTCATTGAAAAGAAAAAAAAAACTAAATAAAAGTTAGGTTTAACTTTAAATTAACCAATCAGAAGTTTAACCTGATTGGTAATCAAGAGCCTAGACTACGGGCTAAGTGAGTCATCACTGACTTCACACAATTTATTAAGTGAAACTCCATATCTTTCTAACTTTTGGCTAGGAGAGGTTCTGACTTTTTTAAAAATCAAAATGTATAAGCACAGAAAACAATCATCATATAATGTATTATTCAGCAGTGACTATTTACATCTTCTAAGACCAGAGCTGGAGAAATAGCACACATTTTGATTAACAACATGATCACAGACACATTTGATTATTTGACTGCATTTAACACTTCAGTGTAGAAGCATGTAATTTAAAAAAAGATAATGAACAAATCCTTACAAGGAAAGTTTAAGCTTTCATATTAAGAAAATAAAAAAGATGCATTGTACGGTTGTGGTATGGTAATCTCTGAAATCAACTAGGTAACCAAGGTGAGTGCACTGTGTTTTACATATGTCAAAAGGGAGTTTAGTGATGACCTTTTTAATTTTTCCACATCGAAGTGAATGAAGAATTTTCTTCAAGACCAGCACTTACCCACCATCCAGTCCATCTCCTCTACATTATCTCCATACAGGCCATGCCTGCTTCTTCCCTGAAACTTCTCTGTGGTAATGAGAGGGGTGTGAACATGTAAAAGGGAAACAAAGAGAAGAAATGGTCTATGCTTGTTTCTGAAATAAAAGAAAACAACAGTCATTTCTCTTCAAGCTGTCACTCAACCCAAAATATAACAGTGGTATTGCAGTTACTCTCTCAATTTATATTTATATTGTTGAGATCCAAACAATTTTTACTTTGATATCATTTTGGCTTTGAGGTTTTGGGAAGCAGAGTGGATTAAAACATACCCCTCAAAGATGTTTTAAGACCAAAAAAGTAATGGGTCCTTTCTTTTTCCAGTTCCAAATTATACATGCAAAACATTAAATAAACAACAAGAAGAGGTCATAGCCAAATGACTGACACATTCCTGAAAGCAAGGAGAGGAGGACTCACTTGCCTAAACTTAAACATGGATGTGTGTCATGAGGACCTGAGATGTCCTCATGGAAGGGGCAGATATCACCCACAGTGGAACTGTATTGCTTCAACATCAAGCCAGGTAATATCCTAGGAACCTGAGATTAGCTATGCTCAAAGTTTTAGAGAAGGAATTTATTCCACCTCACATTTCCTTTAGAAAACAAACACACAACCCCTAAATCCTGACAGAAATATGGATATGCTCAGATTTAACACACAAATACTTTTAAAGGCTTAGCATTTTTTTCAATTCCAATTGAGGTTATTGATAATAAATGAAGAATACATTTGAGAAAAAAAATAAACAAAACCCACAAAACTAAAACTCACTATCATGCTCCTGTTTGCAAAACATTAACTTCATATGACACTTTGTATGACAGTCCATTCATCACCCTAAGATAATTTTTCTGTTCCTACTGGCAGAAGGCACAGTGCCTGGTCAGGACCCCTTTGTATTGCTTGTTCCCCCCCAGCCTGCTCCTCACCTCTGCTGATTACCTTTCAATGAATGTAATTGCCTCCTTCAGCACATTAGAAGTAGTTTTTTGTAGGTTCATTGGTTGTTCAGTGATATCATGGTTTCTCATCAGGATGCAGTTCCAGTACTTGGTGAAACCATAGCTGGAGAACCAGGAGATGAAATGAAGGAGACCACAGATAGCCAGACAGATGATTATTTTCCATTTTACTGGGAATAAATTGGCAAGTTTTCCAATCACAAGAGTAAATACTGCAAGGATGATCATCTGAGTGTAAAACCAATACGTATCTTGCAAAGACTTGGCCAATTCAGGGTCATCTGTGCCTTGACACTCATTGACAAGGGTAAAAGGCATACCATAAAAATAATCAAAACCATGATTTAAAGGATGGTGGCAGTGGTCATGGCGGGTTTTGCAGTTCACACCCATATGCCACTTCCCTGGAAATAAAAAGCAAATATCTTAAATCCTGTATTAGGGTGTGTCTGCCTGTATTTCTCTGTTAAGATGCAGCCAAGGGAGGAACTGGTGACAGACTCAGGGAGCAGAAGTACAGTGACAGACATTGATGATCCCCTCTCAGCCATGTCTTCTCAAGGCTGAACAGCCCATCTCCCTCAGCCTTTCCTCATAAGAGAGATACTTCAGTCCCATAATTATCTTTATTATTGATTAATAAGTTAAACAATACTGGGCTCAGTGCTTAGGGACACCACTGGTGACAACTTTTCCCTGTGCCACTGATTACAACACTCTGGGATCAGCTGTTCAGCCAGCTCTCAACCCACTTCCCTGTCCACTCATCCAGTTCACAATTCCAGAGTTTGCCTATGAGGATGTTGTGAGAGACAGTTTTAAAAACCTTGCTGAAGTCAATATCATTAAGATCACTGTGCTGAAATCAATATAATTAAGACCATTGTGGAGTCTCAGTGCCAACTGGCAGATGACATTTTTCTGCTCTAATACATCAGTAAATATCTCTGCTGATTCATCCTAAAGCAATCCATACTGGGCAAACAAGATTCTTTCCTTTGAACTCACTTCCATTTGCAGTGTGTATTTATGTAATACATACACCTCATTTTGGATTTACCAGATATGCTGTACTCACATGGGACTTGTGGACAGTGTTCTAAAAACCCTGCTGATTTTGAAAGTTATGCATACAAGAAAATCTAGTTTAACTTATCCTGGAAATTTTGACCAAAAAATGTATTTACAGAAGTAACCTAATTAGAATAACAAAAAATGAAAAGGCAACAACTTTGGTTCATACCTACAAGTGCTGTAGAATAACCTTGCTGGTAGAGTATTCTGGCAAAAGTAGTTTCATTTGGTGGGAGTCCCCCCGAACCACCATTCCAGAAGAGAACCTGCCTTTGAGTACTGGATGCCATGCCTAGAGGGGAATAATAGTCTTTAGAATAAAGCAAGCCAGACTTCAGAATTCCAGTCTTCTCCGACTGTGCTTTCTACTGCATGGGACCCAGTTGCCTAAGCCCAGTGCCTTTTTCTAAGCCATTTCCTATGCCCTAGGATATTCTGCTTGACTGCTAAAATGATGTATTATCCAAGTTCCATGTCATCATATGTTAGTCCAATGCAGATGCCTCACCTATGCTGGGGTGTCTACAAATGGCAGGAAGACACCTACATTTGGATATTAAGCAATTTCTTAAAATCAAAAGAAAGTTCTATCAAAATATGATGTTAACCAAAAAAAAAAAAAAAAAAAAAAAAGGCAAATAAGTTTGATCTAGAACAAAAGGCTTACAGGGTCAGGGGAGCACACTTCTGAAATGTACAGTTCACTATTACATTTCTCCTTCAGTGAATCAGAATGACATCAGAAGCTACACTGATTATTACTGATAATTGCAGTGGCTGAATTCTTCTGTCATAAATTTACATGGCTGAAGTAAATCTGTTTTAGGACACAATTGCTGAGAACTATTCTACAGCCTGACACATTTCACTGGGAAAACGTTTCCCAGGATACTAAAAATATTACATTTCATATAAACATAGTGCCACTGAAACACAATATCACGCAATTTTCTTCTTTCTTTTTCCACCTCTGGGTGCTATGTAGTGTTTGGATTTTTGTCCATTTCTGTGTGGTCATTTAGCCACACATAATGTGTTTTATATGGGGATTTTCCCATAGAAATCAATCATTAGCCCTCTCTAACTTTTGCCCTTTTTACTGAGACTCCAAATCCCAAGATTAACGGTTCATTAACATGTTTTTTTTAAGGGGATTTTTAATATCAACACTGACTAGACTAACTGCAGCAAACCATTGGAGAGAGGCCCAACCTGATCTGATGGGGTATCTGCCAGTCAGGAAAGCAGCTCTGCTTGGAGTACAGACAGCTGCTGCAGCAATGTGCTGAGTAAGTCTCACTCCATCCTTTGCCAGGCCATCAATGTTAGGGGTCCTAAAGAGAAAAGTCCCATCTCTGATGAAAATGTATTACACAGAAATTCATAGCATACTGCTCGTCCTAATTTTGTTGTATCACAATCAAATTTAGAAAAATCTGTTTACCTAGAACTCAGCTAGAAAGGTTCTGTGTTTTATATGTATTTTTGAGATACCTTGACTCCTTAGAAATGAGGTTTCCATGGGTATATGTGCTTTTATTATTAACTAAAAAAATGGGGGCGGTGCGGCGGGGGGGGAGGGGGGAGAAACAAGATATTTCAGGTATGTTCCACACCAAATCCCATGCAGCAAAGGGAACAAGAGTCTGTTCACAAACAACATAATAGGCTAGGACAAGGACACATCATTCTCTCAATCAATCTATATACAGATTGATAACTGCACTAGTGATAAATACATCTCAAAGACTGACCTGTCATTTCATAATAAATCAACTAGAGTTGTTAATTGATATTAAATTCTAATCTCATGCCTTCATGTTTCAACCCTGGAATTATGGAAATTTATGTATTATACTCATGCCTGACAACTACAGTGCACAGACACATTTGCAAAGTTCTGAGTCCCAGAAAGTTTCTCAAGCATGCCTGTATAATTATGACTCCAGTAGGAATTACTGGATTTTGTTCATAGCTTGAAAAGAAGTGTATCTAGATAAATGAATAAATTAATAATGAATTTTAATGCTAAGTATCATCAGTATGAAGTTCACTAGGAAGGGATAATTTATTTCATACCTTATTGTATCATTGCCATAGCAACCCACATCTCCAATACCAAGGTCATCAGCCAGTATCAGTAAAAAGTTAGGTTTGGAAGGATTTGATACACAGGTTCTTGGAAACAGGCACAAGATTAGCCAAATGTTTAAGTATCTCCTAAAAGCAAAAATTAAGAGGTAACATTACAAAAAAGCAGTTGTAAGTTTTACAATAGTCTTTAAACTACTATTCTTAAAGTTTCATGGGGACTGAGTATAGGTGCAAACAGCAACCAAAGAGTGCCAGCAGATGGAGCTCCTAAATATGCACAGAAGTCCTTACTTGAGTTTTATAATATTTGTATCATTTTCTGGGATTATTATTGGGATTATTATTATTATTATTATTATTATTATTATTATTATTATTCCACACAGGAATTTTGTGTCTGAATTTCTTTATTGACATTTGCATTGATCTCTGCAGATGTTCCCAGTAGAATGAGTGGTTGGATAATTACAAGTGTCCCAAGGCATCCCTGTATGGAGCTGTAGGATGCTCCTGTTAAGGCTCCTGGAATGAAGGTGATTGTCATTATGGCAATGGCTTGATTGTGACATTTACTGCACCCACTGCTACACACAGTGTCTGCAAAGTGCTCCTTAAACCATGGGGCCATCTGCAAAATCAAGGTGCAGCAACAGGCTTAAACTTGATTATCTTTCTAGGAGACCCTAAGAATATCTTTGCACATTTTAGCTGCTCAAAGTGTTTGCAATTGGAAGCTTAGAGATGCTCACCTGAAGTAAAATACATGTGCTAGAACACATCTTCTGCCTGCTAGTTCATTAGTAGATACTACATTAGTTCATTGGCAGATACTACAATATGATCAATGTATAGTGAGTGTACTATACTATACACTATACCATGTCATACAAAAAGTAGGCTAATAGATTTTGGAATACCAATAGAGCCAAACCTGTATTAGGTACTATTGGGGTGGTGGTAGCAGGGAAAATGTAAGATTAGCTGCTTGATTTCTGAAGCACAACACCTAAAATCTAGGAAAGAGCCTCAGTGAATAGGAAGCTTAGAGATGCTCACCCGAAGTAAAATACATGTGCTAGATCACATCTTCTGCCTGCTAGTTCATTAGTAGATACTACATTAGTACATTGGAAAATGCTACAATATGATCAATGTATAGTGAGTGTACTATACTATACACTATACACTCCTAAAACTCCATGTCATACAAAAAGTAGGCTAATAGATTTTGGAATACCAATAGAGCCAAACCTGTATTAGGTACTATTGGGGTGGTGGTAGCAGGGAAAATGTAAGATTATCTGCTTGATTTCTGAAGCATAACACCTAAAATCTAGTAAAGAGCGTCAATGAATGTCTTTCTTACCCTTGTTTCCCATGGTAAACTTCATAGTTTTCCATTTTATGAAACAGGTACATAGTCTGTCACTCATACAAATTCTGATGAAAAAGGAAAAGAAATAAATCTGAATCCAAAAGTTCTGCTGATTTTGCATGCAGTTTTGCAAAGTCTGATCTGTTTACAGCTGCTGCTAACTCCAGGGGGACTTGTGAGAATTTGGAAATAAGGCAAAATGATGATGGCTTTAAAAAAGAGCTAGAGGTGCCTATTACTCCATACATGCACAGAACTGTTGGTGTTACTGAAAAGAATGTTCTCACCATTTTACAAATGAGGTAAAACTATTATCTTACTTTTTTTACTTAACCTCAGATGAACTTTAAGGAAAACTACAAAAAATATATCAAATAAAAGCCATTCTGGGTTGTCACCATCATTCTTAGGAAAGGGGCTGTATTGTTCTTTGGTTTAGATGCCATCTAGTACATTCAAGAAGGGGTTTCTATCTGAATTGTTACTAAAAACTTCTAGAAACTAGAAGTTACTAGAAACATAAATACCTTTATGATTATTTCCTTAAAGGACTCCAAACCTTAATTTGTAAATTTAACAAGCCAGTTTTTTTACTTGCCAACTCCATGAAGCCAACCTGGACTTTAAAAATCTAGAAATAATATTTTTGTTTGTTAAATATTTATTTTTGTCTGGTGAAGTAAATTTTTATGAGTGGAAGTGATTTTTTCTGCTTGTTTAAACAGAGTCACTTTGAAAAAAAGAACGGCTTGGGAAAGTACTTCTTTTCCTTGTGAATGACCTAAGTGACCTGCAGATAATGTTGCACTGGAATTGTGCAAATAGTCCTGCAGAAGTACATGGTAAACTGGCTCCAGTGGGGACTGGCACGTGCTCAGCTTTGGGGAGTACACTGAGGTAAATTAGAGATGTCATTCATTCCATCACTGAGAAGAGAGAAAAAAATTGGAACTATCCCACCCATGCAATATCCCTACTTTTCCACATTTTTTGCTATTTCAAAACAGCACAAGAACAAAGATGTTGTTGGCTGTACCAAGGAACAGCTTGAAAGTAATAGGAACATTTACTTTCTATAACAACTCAAGACATGTCTGTAAACACAGAGTCACTTCTAAACACAGAGAACTGAAAAGTTCTATCTTGACTAATGAAAGACTTGGGTTTTTTCCTCCAAAAATAAAAATACAGCATTTTCTGAGAGCTTTTTTTCTGTTTTTTAGTACACAAGAATTCACCTGGAGTGTCTGAGAAACACTAAGCTGTCCAGAGCAGAGTAAATCCTGCCTTATGCATTTCAGAGAATGAGCCATATGACAGGAAAAAAAATGCAGATATTGTTATTCTGGTCAGGAAAACAGTATTAAGAGTCAGAACTTGGGATCCATCGATGATTTTTCCAAGCAACATATAGATTCTTGTTTGGTGGTGGCTGAGACAATAAAGGAAATAAAAAACACAAAAAAACCCCATACCTCCCCACCACCAAAGAAAATAAACAAATCCCCCAGAAAAACAAATCTCCCCTCAAACAAACAAAAAAACCCCATACCCCCCCACCACCAAAAAAAAAAATCCCCCAGCAAAACAAATATAAACCCCTCAAACAAACAACAAAACTTCCAAGAACAAACAACAAAGCAACAAAAAACCCAACAAACTTGATCACTGTTAGGTATGGATTTTTCTACAGTGTTGATGTTGGCAGGATCCCAAAAGGCAGCACTGAAAGCTCATCCTCCCTGCCCAGTGCATGGGTCAGAGATTAATGGGAAGACAGGAAAGCCTCTCTGACTCATTGCTTCAGCAAGACCTTACTTTGAATGCAGATGCCAGGACCCCACTAACAAAAAAGCAGACTGTAATATACAAAGGAAAGGACATACTACTAGCAACAAAAAACCCAACAAACTTGATCACTGTTAGGTATGGATTTTTCTACAGTGTTGATATTTCCCTTTGCTGTTGGCAGGATCCCAAAAGGCAGCACTGAAGGCTCATCCTCCCTGCCCAGTGCATGGGTCGGAGATTAATGGGAAGGCAGCAAAGGCTCCCTGACTCAATGCAGTGGCTAGTTGAAGCAAGACATTACTGTGAATGCAGATGCCAGCATCCCACTATCAGAAAAGCAAGCTGTATTAATATAAAGCAAAGGACTTACTACTAAGATCTCAAATATTTCTGAGATGGCAGTGCAGTGGTGCTGTCACAGCCTAAATGCAGCTCCCCCGAGGCCCAGTGAGCTGGGGCAATGATGAGGCAAGTGTCTGAAGCCATTAATCTGTGACAACAAAGGATGACTGATGGCTCTGGTCATCACCTACAATGGCAATATCTTCATGGTGCATTAACAACAGGCAGAGCTCTGCCTTCCCAGCCACTGTTAGACAGCATTACATTTAAGAAGCTTGTGGTACAGGATTAAGCCAAAAGTATTACAGGGTAAATCTTCAGTCCACCAAGTAGCTGAGGATCAGCCCCTCTTTGCTGAAGTGGAGCAAAAGAACCAGACAGATCTGAATATCTAAGAAACCCCTTGATTTCCCAGGGCGTTGTTCAGCTTTCCAAGCTCTTACAACAGCTCTGCTTTCTCCCCACAGGTTCTTACATCACAGCCAGCTGGTCACAGCAGGCACATCAGTGTTTAGACAGAAACTTGTGTAGAGGTCATCAGAAAAACCATAAACTTGAACTGAGCACTGGTGGTATTAAAAAGATCTAAATACCATTGGATGTGGCACCATCTGATTTACTGCAAGCCATTTTAGGAGCACTTCTCTTACTGAAGGACTACAAGAATGACCACACTTACTAAGAAAACCACCACAATTTAAATATGCATATTCACATTTCTCTGTTAGGGCTTGATTCCTTCTGAAAGCAGAACTCTCTCTGACAGCACTAGGATGTTATGAACCCACTACTGGGCCCTAGGGCTTGTCCAGTTTCCTTAGCTATTAAATGAGAAAACCCAACGTGATTTATGAATCTAACAGCCGCCTCTAAAAATCAGCAATCTTTTACAGAAATCCAATAATACATTAGACAGTAATTCCCTCTGTAAGCCAGTAAGCCACAATAAAATGATTATCAGGACTAACAAAAAAGGCCAGCCCCTTTTAACAATATGGAAAACAAACCCTCTTCTCAGTTATTCTGGTTCCGAAATCCCTCTTGCTCCTGGATGTGCTGAGCAGTCCTGATTCTCTAAAAGGTGTGTGGGTGAAAGCAGGCAGGAACTGGCTCCTGTTCTTCTTGCTCTCCCTTCCCCCTCTCTCCAGCATGGACACACTGGGATCCCTGCCAGCAACAGCCAGTGAACTGGAACAGCCATCAAATGGGAACAGCTATGCAGGTTTTACACGAATTCCAGGCAAAGTACAAAGTCCTTATTGTTTAAATAGTAGCACAGCATGGCTACTGCCTCTCCTCGATTTCCTATCTGGTTAATTCTGAGAAAATTTGTATAAAGTTTGGCACTGCTCTATTTCAGTGCTTCAGAAGACATGATATAATAACAAAATATGCTACAAAGGGTTTTGTTTCTCCCACACAGCTTTTCCAGCCTTCCAGATGAGATAAAAGGACTAGCTTGTTCTCCTTTTCTTCTGTCACATTGTTTTTCTGTTTTCATTGCATTTTCTAGAAAGGTAGGCATACCTGTGCTGAAAATGTGTTTATTTCTAGTGTTTCCTATCCATCCCTTCTTTCAGATCTTAACTCTGGTGTAATACATTTTATAATTCAGAAGGTCTTGAGCAATTACTTGGAGTAGCCTTATTTATTTGCTGACATTTTGGTTCTCTGTGCTACTTGAATACAGCAATTGCTGAATTTAAGCCTGTGTTCTAGAGAAGTCAGTAGGAGTTGGTGAGATAGAAAGATGAACAGCAGCTAAAACTATCAGATTCATATAATCTAGTGGCAGGGATAACCAGGGATGGAGAGAGTTTTTTATTTTTTTTACCCCCTTGCACTTATGATTATGCACAGTTGTTTTTATGTTGTGACATTGGGCTACTGTTATTCACATCTACTTGACTGTAATACTTATTTTGTACAACTGCTTAACAGCTTGTGATGCTTCTGGTGCAAAGACTTGAAAAAATTTTGTTTATCAAAAATTACATCATGCTTTGGGAATGGCAGATCTTTGAAAACTGCCAATAATACAAGTAATTAACAATTACTTGTATTAATAATACAAGTATCAATAATTATTATTAATTAATAATAATTAATTAATTGCATCACATTAATATTTTATTAAATATTATATTAAATATTATATATTGCTATATTGTATTATAATTAAATATTATAATAAATTATATTGCAATTAAATTATATTAATAAAATTAACAATTACTTGTATTAATAATACAAGTATCAATAATTATTATTTATTAATAATAATAATTAATTGATTGTGTCACATTAATATTACATTAAATATTATAGTAAATATTATATATTAATATATTGTATTATAATTAAGTATGATAATAAATTATATGGTTATTAAATTATATTAATAGTTTATTAATTAATAATGATTGATTAATAATACAAGTATTAACTTTCACTGGCTTTCATGCAAATTATGACTAAACTTTTCTTTATATCTTATTTACATCTTTCTCACCATGTGTTCTGGAGATGGGCCACTACTGAAGATGGGCCCATACTGCTGCTGGCATGACTTAAAAATGCAAACTGAAACAAACTGCACTGCCCCTACCCCCCAACCCCCCGAAAAAAAACCCCAAAAAACCAAAAAATCCCACACCTTCACATTTTTCCCTGCTAGCAAAACTCTGTCTGGAAGCAAAGACCTCACATTCTCAACACTATGTTGCTGACCTAACACAGAGTTAACAGCCATGATTACTTATTGTCCACAGAAGTAAATTTTAAACAAACACTTTTTCTATCAAAAAAAGTAAAGTAATGAATAACACCAATGGAGAAGCGAGATGATTTTTATCTCTGCAGCTTGAGCCAAACAGCATTTCCTCCTCTTCACCTAACCAATTTTTCACTGCACCTGAGCACAGAACGCTGCTGTTTACTCCCTGCTGTAAACACGCAAATTCTCTGCCAGCAAAAACTTTTTTTTTAGTCACTCTGTATTTTATACTGCTGTTTTCTTTCTGGTTTTTTACACATGTCTGAGTACTAAAATCAAACACTGGCATTCATTTAGCTCCTTCTCCCTTTGAAAAGCTTTGTGAGTGAACATAGAGTAGTGAACATAAATACTGATATGACACACAAAATTTCATAAAATCTGGTTGCCAGTCTTATATCTCTTAAGAGTAGCAGGGAATTATAGTGGCACAATGAATCCTTTCTGAGCACTAATACATTTAGGCAGAGCTACAGAGGGAAGGGCTCTAAAAGGATCTTGAACATAAGCAGTCCCTGACAGCCCCTTTGAGTCACTCAGGCATTCTTTCCAAGATGGGCACAAGAGGAATGCTCTCCACCTCTGCCTGTCTCATATTTAAATTTAAAAAAGGAGCAAATTATGAAATCTGCTTTTACCTATGTCTTCAGCCCCATCCCAGCACTTTATTTTCTCATGGTATTAAATGCTGTGTATTTGCTGATCACTGTGGTGATCCTGCTTGTGGATTAAGATAGGGTCAAGGACAATTCCACCTCAGGTGACATACTGCTTACTGTTCCAAGTCCATATTCTAAGTTGTTATTTAGCAGTATTGTGCACTATACAGTATCCATGCTTAGAGCTCCAACTCATTATTTTTCAGCAATTCATGGAGAAAGACTGCAAGTATGTTCAGTTATTAAACACTAGTAAACTTTGAAAGCAATATGGAAAGAAAGACTATAAAACATACATATGATACATACATGTGTAAACCTTTTCAAAATTCCCTAGAATACTATTTCTGGAAATTATGATAGAGACATAGTCAGACTTCCATTCGAGAAACAGATCTCATTGCTTGAAAACATGTAAAGAAAAAAAATAATTGGCAGCTAGTATTACTGACGGATTGTACAACATCTGCTTAATGAATCAGGTAAGTGCAAAACATCAGAAAAACACAGACAACTATTATGTAACTTCTGTTTACAAGACTCAGCATGGACTTACACAATAAATGAGAGCCTTATTAACAATGATCTTGAGCACAGATCAGAAGCCACTGGCACAGCCAATCAGATGTTGAAGAAATCCTACCAAATTATAAAAATTGGTGCTTATGCTTTCCTTATAATTATGTTCTAAGTTGACACTGCTGTGCTCAGTGCACATCTAGAGAATGACAGCATTATAAATTATAGCATCCTTTGATTCAAGAAATCTGCTCCTTCAAGATGTCACAGAGAAGCTGTACCTGTGCAAGAGCCTTACACCTTAGACTGCTTCTGTGAGGGCCTGTACAAAGGAAAAGACAATTTTAGTTCTGTGGTGCCCACAGTCAGGGTGTTATCAAAAAAAAGGGTGGGGGGAAATAATTACATAATTTTTTATACAGTTTAATTTCCTAAATGATGGTAAAGAAAGAACAACAAAAACTTAAAGAAAATGAAGCATCAGGAAAACTGATTCATTTGAGTCCAGGGTTCTTGGGAAAAAAAATGCAGGTTGGTCAATTCAAGTAACACAGTTTTAATTTGTCCAAGTTCAAACAAATGCATTCAGGAAGGAACCATAAACCTGCCAATGTGAAGAGAATGGCAGCAATGGCTTTGCAATGTAGCAATGCAGTCCTGAAAATAAATTAAACTTATAGAAAGCAACAGATTGAGCACAGTGACCAGCATGATGTCAGAGGTAAAAGAGAAATTCAATCAATCCTTCTAACTTTTTACAAGGCAGACCTTATTGCTTTCTACAGCTACCTGAAAGGAGTTTGAATTGAAGAGGTAGTCAGCCTCTTTTCCCAAATAACAAGTGACAGCACAAGGGGAAATGACTTCAAGTTGTTCCAGTGGAGGTTTAGACAGGATATTAGGAAAAATTTCTTCAGAGAAAGGGTTCTAAAGCATTGAAACAAGCTGTCCAGGAAAGTATTTTAAAGGTACAACCAGAAGTGCAGAGCATCAGTTATTAAATCTGGTACCTCCCCATAAGAGATCAGAGGACTCTAATAATCCAGTCTAAACATTTCTGCAAAATGAGACCAAATGCCACAGAGGCCCAAACTGGCCAGCAAATTTTGTGTGGACACACTGGCTTTAAACAATTTTGATTATCTGCAAACCTTATCCAAAACTCATTCTTTTCAGCAGCTGTTACTACATATGACTGCTCTACCATTTCTTTCTCCAAACTTGTCAACCATAAATGAATCAACTTCCAATAAAATTTATTCCACTTGCCTGTAATGCCATAAAGTCTGCAGCTGCCTCAACAGTAACTTTAAGAGATTTAGCCAAAAAAGTTTTCCAAAAAAGTTTTGCTTAGTTTATCATGGGGCTGAAGCAGGGGACCTAACTCAACATGGATTGGTAACAACTTTCTCCAGCCAGCAGCCTTGTCTAGACTCTGGATTGGGCTTTTTTTTTTTTTTTTTTCATCTTTGCTTTACAGAAAGCAAGCTTCAAGCCTGAAACTGCTAGAAAAAAAATCATTCTTGATGTGCTGAATTGAAAGAAAAAAAAGAGATAAACTTACAGAGAATAAAAAATACAAACCTCCACTTTAAAAACATCTCCTCATTAGCAAAATATTTATTGAAGCCAGACATATCTCATTTTTCACCATCATCCCGAAAAGCCTGGCAACGCCTCTGCTCACTGGGAATCCACCACAGAAAGGAACTTCTCATTCTTAAAAATGCTAAGAGAGATCCAACTCCAGCAGAAAAATTAGGAATAAATCCTTGTTAATTAAGCTAAAAGACTGTATTTACACAGAGCAAAAGAATTTGCCTTCTAGTTTTCTTTGTCTAACTTCAGATGGTGGAAGAAATAATTTGCACACTGCTGCAAAACCAGAGCAAAACTCCAAATTCTTTAACACTTATTTAAATATTAAAAAAGTGAATTACAATTACTACATATATAGAAATATTTACTGGTAATGCACAAAATCTCTCTCTGCTTAGCTGTTGGCTGAAAATAGATGCTTGCTTTCCACCTTGTACAAAAGCATGCTACAGAACAGCTTCACCTCAGTGAACAGTATATCAAAATGTAATTACATGTATTAATTTCATATTACATTATGGCTCTGAAGGAAGCCCATTCAGCATACCATATGCCACCTACTGTTCCACCCTGTTGACCCCTTTTCTTCCATAGCTTCCAGGTATACAGATGTTCAGAAGAGGAGAGGTATCAAGTGGGGAAAGACAGAGAGAAGAAATCAAAAACTCCTAGCTGGTGTGAGCACAGCCAGTTTCTCAGTGCTTGCAGCTGGTGAGCCAGAAACAGGTGCTGCTTACCAACCAAAATACAAGGGATGCCCTTGCAAGAATGCCAAAAGCAGGAGATCATCAGTAGCCTCTCTCGCTCTCTTTTTTTTTTTTTTTCCTTTCCATTCTGCACTCCCAGGGAACCAGCCTCAATAGCTCTGACTAGAGGGGATACAGTTTTTAGTGGCCTGGAAAATATCAATCCTTGCTCTCTTGTATCATGATTATATTACCACTTAGCTTTGTGCATTTTCAGTAAGTAATACTGTCGTGGCAAGTTACCCAAATGTTTTAATTTATTATGGCAGCACCCTGCCTTCAGAGCAACAGCAGTAAGGGATGGTCTGGCCCTAGGCTGTAAATTACCTCAAGCATTTTCACATTATGATTAGCAGTTCCTGGTCTAAATTATCTAAT